GAGCCGGCCCTGGGGGTCAGACTGTGACAGCATCAACAGCAGCAGCCGCTCCAGCTCCCCCTTCTCTCTCTGCCCTTTTGCCTCTGTCCACTAAGGATTCAGTTTCACAGCCTAAGACAATTCGACCCTTTGCACGTGGGCTGTGAGCCTGTGACCAATAAGGCAGCTAAAAGCAAGGCCTTAAACAGCCAGATGCCAGCATGAGTTTGCCATCTGTGGGAGTGGCTGGTCAGACCATGGGCTGGGCCTGTGTTTTTCTCAGGGCTGGCTCTAGGCGCCAGCGTCCCAAGCATGTGCTTAGGGTGGCACTTTTCAAGGGGTGGTACTCCGGCCCCCTTCTTTTTTTTTTTTTTACTTTGGGGCGGCAAAAAACCTGGAGCTGGCCCTGCTTTCTCCAGCCATGAGGCTGCAAGTGAGAGTCAGCCCCAGAGACAGAAGCTGCATTTTCTCCTTTTGCTGGTCTTTCCTCTCCCCTTTTGTGTGTGTTTGTCAGGATTTGCCTTAAACCAGGCAGGGTCAGACTGTGATGGCATCAACAGCAGCAGCCGCTCCAGCTCGTCTAAACGAACTTTCCCTCTTTCTCCCAAAAGGACATTTCATACCATCTCTGACACCATCCTACAGATCGACAAGCAGGGAGTTCTCCATAAATGATTCTCTACAGGCACAGGGAATGAATGAGGGAGATTGTGAAAATGAAAGTCCCACTTAATATGTTGCCTCTTTGGTCCATGGAGTTCACCATTATTTGCAGGGCTAGTTGCATTAGGAGGTGATAGAAATCGAAGACACAAGTCAGGTCTGATCTTGGTGTGATCTTGTTTATTTGCACAGAGCGCACACATAGTTGTGGTTTCTGAAAACAGCAGAAACAGTCACAGGCAGTTTCCTCACTCCAAAATCTCCACGCCTGCCCTCCAGTAGGCTCTGTGCCCAAGAAACTCTGTCCCTCTGCTTCCTCTAAGAGATGGTCTACACTGTAGAGATAGGTCGACCTAATTACATCGCTCAGGACTGTGAAAAATTTCACATCCTGTGTGATATGCTTAAGCCGACCAAAGCCCCAGTGCAGACACTGCTAGAACTAATGAGCCTGAGGTCCAGTGGGGGTTCTCCCATCATGCACACAAGGTCTCAGGAAGGGAGGAGAATGCCCCTGCCTTCTTCCAAGCCCCTGATAGTCACCCAGTCCCCTCTCCCACCCACTCTGGCTCTCCTGGAAGGGCTAGAGATTGTGTAGAGAGCGGAAGACTTGAGGGATCTGGGGTTCTTCCTCCCTTCCCTGTGGACTCGCTGAGGTATGCAGGGTGGGAGAAGCCACAGCAGGCTGACTGGGAGCCATTACCCATCCCAAGCACTTGATAGGAATCTTCTTTCTCTGAGGAAATTCTTTGGCTTTCTGTTGGGAAAATAGTAATCCTTTTCTGGGATTTCACATGTCACACGTTGTGTGGGTCCTTCCATCCCCAGAAAAACAGAGGGGGAGTCTCTCCTGGCATTCCTATGGGGGCAGAGTTAAGGTTATGTGCTTGATTTGAGTGGAGAGTATCACCTTTCCCGCCCAAACTCCCACTGGACCTTCACATGTAAGCTGATGTCTATCTTCTGTCTAATCTAACCGTACATGGAATCTCTCATTGTCTTTTCGCAGGCAGACTGAGCAGTTCACTGGAGCTGCCATGGCTGGGTTAGATGCTAAAGAGCTTCCCAAGATACCTGAAGAGGATGTGGAAGCACTGATGGCTGCTGTTGGGGAAGGAAACCTCCCCGAAGCAGCTGCTAAAGCTAAAGAGTCCCTGGAGATGGTTGATAAAATCATTATCAACATCGTTGTCATTGGGGAGTCGGGCTCTGGAAAATTGTCCTTTGTCAACGCCATCCGGGGCCTGGGGGATACAGATGATGGTGCTGCAGAGATAGGGTTAATTGAAACAACAGTGAAACCCACCACTTACCGACACCCTGAATATCAGGGTTGGCAGGGACCTCAGGAGCTCATCTAGTCCAACCTCCTGCTCAAAGCAGGACCAATCTTCTGTCTAAACTAACCGTACATGGAATATCTCATTGTCTTTTCGCAGGCAGGCTGAGCAGTGCACTGGAGCTGTCATGGCTGGGGTAGATGCTAAAGAGCTTCCCAAGATACCTGAAGAGGATGTGGAAGCACTGACGGCTGCTGTTGGGGAAGGAAACCTCCCCGAAGCAGCTGCTAAAGCAAAAGAGGCTCTGGAGATGGCTGATAAAATCACTCTCAACATCGTTGTCATTGGGGAGTCGGGCTCTGGAAAATCGTCCTTTGTCAACACCATCTGGGGCCTGGCGGATGATGATGAAGGTGCTGCTGAAACAGGGGTGAATGAAACAACAATTGAGCCCACTGCCTACCCACATCCTGCATACCCAAATGTAACCATCTGGGATCTACCAGGGATCAGGACCCCAACATTTAAATCAGACACGTACCTCGAGCAGGTGAGGTTCAGCCACTATGACTTTTTCATCATCATCTCGTGCACCCGCTTCAAATACCACGACATTAGCCTCGTCCAGGAGATCCAGAGACTGGGGAAGAAGTTTTACTTTGTGCGCTCCAAGGTGGATCAGGATTTGACAAATGAAAAACAAAACTATAACGAGGCGGGAATTCTAGAGAAGAGGAAAGCTGCCACGAAAAGAGCACATCAGTACAGTGAGAGTGTGATCCTCGAAGCCATCAAAGAGAACTGCATCAAAGGCCTGGAAGCAGGAGAGGTGGCCTCCTCACGGGTTTTTCTTGCATCTCGACAGGACTTGGGCAAGTATGATTATCCCAAATTGCAGGAAGTACTAGTGGATGAGCCCCCCAGTCACAAGAGACTCACTCTCCTATGATCCCTGTCCAATGTTTCTAAAGAAATCCTGGAGAAGAAAAGAGAACTACTGCATAGGCAGATATGGCTGAAAAGTCTGGTGTCATGCACAGTCGCTGCTGTTCCTCTCCCAGGTCTCTCCACTGTTTATGATGTTGCCATGCTGGTGACATCCCTGAAAGAGTTCTGCAGGGATTTTGGCCTTGATGAAAAGTCTCTCGCTGCACTTGCTAGACAGAACAAGCCCATTGCAGAGCTGAAGACCGTTATAAAGTCCCCACTGTGTGAGGAAATAACAAAAGATCTTGTAATTAAGATACTGACCAAGTGCGCAGCTGGGGCAGTGCAATATGCTACAATTTTTTAAAAATGTATACCTGTGTTAGGTTCTGTCGCAGCTGCAGCAGTTTCTCTCCCTATCACAAAGCTCATGCTGCAGAAGTTCCTTGATGATGTTGCTGCTGACGCTGCAGGAGTTCTGGAGGTGGTTATGGACGGAGCCATTTCCAATGCCTAGAAACAGCACAAAAACAACCACACCCCCTGAAAGTAGGATGACCAGATGTTCCATTTTTAAAGGGACAGTTCCCTTTTTGGGGACATTTTGTTATATTTGCTCCTATAACCCCCCACCCCTTGTCCCGTTTTTTCACAGTTGCTATCTGGTCACCCTACCTGAAAGGATCAAATGTCAGCAGTTTCTCTCCCTACCACATACTTCATGTTGAAGCGTTTCCTGGATGCTGCTGCTGCTGACGCTCTAAGAGTTCTGGAGGTCGTTATGGACGGAGACGTTTCAAACTCAGAGAAACAGCATGAAAACACCCGCACCCCCTGAAAGGAAGAAACGTCAGCATGTGGCTGAAAGGATCAAAGTAAAGACCCTGTCCCAGCTGGAGCTCGGGGCTCAAAGTCTCATGAAATTGCTGCCTTTTCTGCATCAGGTGTGAAACTTCACCATAACTGAGCTCTGAGCTCCGTTTCCATGGAGGTCTCCAACCATAACATACTGAATTTAATTCAGCCATAAAATGGGCGGAGGAGGGGTCCTGACTGACCCTGTTCTTTGGTTTTATTTCCGCAGCGAACTAGGCCAAGTTGTGATAAAGCTCCCCAGGGTCCCCAGTGCCTCACGCGCTCTGCAGGGAGCTCAGGGAACAGTTATTTCAGGCCCCAGCCGAGAGCAGGGCCAGGGCAGAGCCCATCTAACCCTTCCCTGAGAAACGACAGGGAGCGACACCAACAATGACTCGTTCTAGCCACAGATTTTCCACTTCTTGGTTCCCGTTGCCCTGAAATTGCAGCCTGGGCAGGCGTCACATTGGCCATGTGGGTAAATTCACTCAGACACAATCGTAAAAACCCTAAATCCTGACGTGACTTGGGTGCCGACCCCCCCGGTGCCAACTCCTCCCTCGTCACTGTAGGGCCCCAAGCAGTGACGTAGCAGCTTTTAATAGGAGGGGGAGAAAACATAAAAAAGCCCCCCCCCTTGGCTGGCTCCTCCGGCCACACTGCCCCCCCCTCGCTCCTCCGGCCGCCATGCTGCGGTCCCCCTCGCTCCTCCGGCCGTGGCTGCGGGGCCAGGTCACATGCCACGCCCCCTGCTCCTCCAGCCGCGTGCCGGCCGCCCCCATGGCTGCCGGCCGCGCTGTGGGTGGCCAGCCTGTGCCCCCTCTTGCTCCTCTGGCCGTGCTGCGGGCAACCAGCCTGCGCCCTTCCCCCCTGCTCCTCCGACCGCAGCTGCAGGCCACATGCAGCGCCGCCACCCCTGCTCCTCTGGCCGCACGTGCGCCCACCATGGCTGCCGGCTGCGCTGCGGGCGGCCAGCCTGCGTCCCCGCTCGCTTCTCCGGCTGTGCTGCGGGCGGCCAGCCTGCGCCCCCCTGCGCTTGTCCGGCCGTGCTGCGGGCAACCAGCCTGCGCCCCCCCTCACTCCTGCGGCCGGCGGCCGCCTTTGGAAAGGTGCCACTTTTAGCACCCCGCTAGCTATGCTACTGGCCCCAAGCAAATGAAACAGGCTTTTGAGCACAGACGCTTTCGCACTTTCCCCCAGGCTGCCCCTGTCTGGGGAGGAGCCGCCTGTAACTTCCCACAGAGCCCCTGGACTGACCTCCTGCAAATGCCTCCTTCAGCTTCACCCCGGCCATTGACCCTCCGGATTACTCGACAATGGCCCACGGCTGGAGCTCTGGGAGTGCTGCCCATTGCGTTATCCCACCCATCTCCCTGCTCCCGTGTGCTCCCCCGTCTGCCTGGAGCACCCGCCTGCTGGGTCTAGTCTTAGATTGTCGCTCTTGGGGGCAGGGCCCATCCTTCTGTTCTCTGTACAGCACCTAGCGCAACAGGGACATCTCCTGACAGGGTCCTAGGTGTTACTGTGAGACAATAATAGACTAAGAAATGCTGAGACTGATCCTTGTAATTCTGTCTCTACTCTCATAGGTTTAACCAGCCCCTTATGCAAAGGTAGATTTGTCCAGGGAAGCACCTGTGTCTGGCTGTGCTATTAACCCTGTGAATGGCCCTGGATTGAAATGGAGAAGGGTCAAGATGTGCCTGGCTGATAAACCCATATGGGATGCTTGATAATGACCTGGCTGAGTGGCAGCTGTCACTTATACTCTGGGCTGTGCCCCCATTCCTGGCTGGTGAGTTTGTGTGGAGAGAGGCTCTAGTGTTTGATGCTGAGTTTATGTACCTCTATTGCTCCTTGATTTGCTATTCTCAGTGGGAGCCTATTCTGTAGTTTATTATAAGAGCCTATGACTGAACAATTCATTTGAGCAGTTGGAGACTTCGATACATTGCAGCTGGTCTGGCCATATGTATAGCCAGTGCATCAGCCTCTGCCTTCCCTCAATAACCCACTGATTTGTTGCTTTTGATTTCATAATGATTAGCGGTCCGGTTCTGCGATCCTTTCACACCCCCAGAACGGGCCCCTCTTGTCTTGTAGAACTGATTTAATATTTCAATTGTAATAAACTTGCATTTAATCTGGCCTAAGAGCCCGTGTCCCTGAATTTTACCATTGCTAAATGTCCATGGCGTAAGGGCATTGCTCTGACTAGACAGGAGTATTGCACCCAGTTTTGGTCCCCCCACTACAGAAAGGATGTGGACAAATTGGAGAGAGTCCAGCGGAGGGCAACAAAAATGATTAGGGGGCTGGAGCACATCACTTATGAGGAGAGGCTGAGGGAACTGGGCTTGTTTAGTCTGCAGAAGAGAAAAGTGAGGGGGGACTTGAAAGCAACCTTCAACTATCTGAAAGTGAGTTCCAAAGAGGATGGATCTAGACTATTCTCAGTGGTACCAGATGATAGAACAAGGAGTAATGGTCTCAAGTTGCAGTGGGGGAGGTCTAGGTTGGATATTAGGAAACACTATTTCACTAGGAGGGTGATGAAGCACTGGAATGGGTTACCTAGGGAGGAGGTGGAATCTCAATCCTGTCAAGGTTCCTTCTCCACTCTGAACTTTAAAGTACAGATATGGAGACCTGCCTGTGAACCCCTAAACTGAATTACTAGCTTAGATCTGGTTTTGCTGCCACCACTCCCAAGTACTAACTCCCTTCCCTGGGTAGCCTTGAGAGACTTCTTCACCAATTTCCTGGTGAACACCAATTCAAACCTTTGGATCTTAACACAAGGAGAATTTAACCATCCCCCCTCCTTTCCCCCACCAATTCCTGGTGAATCCAGATCCAATCCCCTTGGATCTTAAAACAAGGAAAAATCAATCCGGTTCTTAAAAAGAAGGCTTTTAATTAAAGAAAGAAAGGTAAAAATCATCTCTGTAAAATCAGGATGGAAAATAACTTTACCGGGTAATCAGATTCAAAAAGCCCAGAAGAACCCCCTCTAACCTTAAGTTCAAAGGTACAGCAAACAGAGGTAAACCCCCAAGCAAAAGGTACATTTACAAGTTGAGAAAACAAAGATAAAAACTAACACGCCTTGCCTGGCTGTTACAAGTTTGAAATATGAGAGACTTGTTCAGAAGCTTTGGAGAGCAGGGATTGATGTCTGGTCCCTCTTAGTCCCAAGAGCAACCCCCCAAAACAAAGAGCACAAACAAAAGCCTTCCCCCCCCCCCCAAGATTTGAAAGTATCTTGTCTCCTTATTGGTCCTTTGGGTCAGGTGTCAGCCAGGTTACCTGAGCTTCTTAACCCTTTACAGGGAAAAGGATTTTGGAGTCTCTGGCCAGGAGGGATTTTATAGTATTGTACACAGGAGGGCTGTTACCCTTCCCTTTATAGTTATGACACATCCTTAGAGGTTTTTAAAGCCTGGCTTGACAAAGCCCTGGCTGGGGTGATTTAGTTGGTGTTGACCCTGCTTTGAGCAGCGGGTTGGACTGGATGACTTCCTGAGGTCTCTTCCAACCCTAATCTTCTATGGTCATCACAACTTGGACTCTTTCGCTGGTGAAATAAAGAAAAAACAAAGAACAGTGTCAGTCAGGATTCTGCCCCCCCTTTTGTGGCAATATGTTATGGTGGGTGGTAGACCTCCGTGGAAATGGAAGTTGGAGCTCAGTTACGGTGAAGTTTCACACCCGATGCAGAAAGGGCAATTTCATGAGACTTCCCACAGCTTTGAGTGCGGAGCTCCAGCTGGGACAGGGTCTTTACTTAGATCCTTTCAGCTGCGTGCTGACGTTTCTTCCTTTCAGGGGGTGCGGATGTTTTCACGCTGTTTCTCTGTGTTGGAAATGGCTCCCTTCAAAACCACCTCCAGAACTCATGCAGCGTCAGCAGCAGCATCATTCAGGAAATTCTGCAGTGTGTAGTATGTGGTAGGGTAAGAAGCTACTGCAGATATTATGGAACCTAACACAGGTATAAAATTTAACAAAAATGTAGAATATTTCACTGGCCCAGCTGTGCACTTGGTCACTAGATTAGTTACAAGATCGCCAGTTATTCCCTCACTCAGTGGGGACTTTATAAGGGCCTTCAGCTCTGCAATAGGCTTATTAGACTGTCTAGCAACTGCAGTGAGAGCATTTTTATTGAAGCCACAGTCCGTGCAGTACTCTTTCAGGGACATCATCAGCATGGCGATATCACAAACAATGGTGAGACCTGGGATTGGAACACCAGCAATTCCACATGACGCCAGACTTTTCCACCATATCTGTGCTTGCAGTAGTTCTCTTTTCTTCTCCAGGATTTCTTTAGAAACATTGGACAGGGATCGTAGAAAAGTGAGTCTCTTGTGACTGGGGAGCTCATCCACTAGTACTTCCTGCAAATTGGGAAAATCGTACTTACCCAAGTCCCATCTAGATACAAGAAAAACCCGTGGAGAGGCCACTCCTCCTGCTTCCAGGCCTTTGATGCAGTTCTCTCTGATGGCATCGAGGATCACACTCTCACTGTACTGATGTGCTCTTTTCGTGGAAGCTTTCCTCTTCTCTAGGATTCCCGCCTCGTTATAGTTTTGTTTTTCATTTGTCAAATCCTGATCCACCTTGGAGTGCACAAAGTAAAACTTCTTCCCCAGTCTCTGGATCTCCTGGGCGAGGCTAATGTCGTGGTATTTGAAGCGGGTGCACGAGATGATGATGAAAAAGTCGTAGCGGCTGAACCCCACCTGCTTGAGGTACGTGTCTGATTTAAATGTTGGGGTCCTGATCCCTGGCAGATCCCAGATGGTAACATTTGGGTATGTAGGATGTGGGTAAGCAGTGGGCTCCATTGTCGTTTCATTCACCCCTGTCTCAGCAGAACCTTCATCGTCATCCCCCAGGCCCGGGATGGTGTTGACAAAGGACAATTTTCCAGAGCCTGCCTCCCCAATGATAGCGATGTTGATAATGATTTTATCAACATCTCCAGGGACTCTTTAGCTTTAGCAGCTGCTTTGGTGAAGTTTCCTTCCCCAACAGCAGCCTTCAGTGCTTCTGTCATAACTATAAAGGGAAGGGTATCAGCTGTCCTGTGTACAGTACTATAAAATCCCTCCTGGCCAGAGACTCCAAAATCCTTTTCCCTGTAAAGGGTTAAGAAGCTCAGGTAACCTGGCTGGCATCTGACCTAAAGGACCAATAAGGGGACAAGATACTTTCAAATCTTGGGGGGGGAAGGCTTTTGTTTGTGTTCTTTGTTTGGAAGTGTGTTCGTTCTCGGGACTGAGAGGGACCAGACATCAATCCAGGTTCTCCATATCTTTCTAAACAAGTCTCTCCTATTTCAAACTTGTAAGTAAATAGCCAGGCAAGGCGTGTTAGTTTTCCTTTGTTTTTCTCAACTTGT